AAAATTCCTGCTTTAGAATTTCCTTTTATTTTAATCCATTTGTCTCCCGATCTATATTGCTATGTTCTATGATGTGACTTTTGTGACCCCCTTTCCTACTATTCTCCCCCACACTGTTCCTTTAACACTCCTGACTCTCTTGTCTTGGGGGCCTGTGCTGTGACTATTCCCTCTACCTAGAACACTCTTCCTTCCCCTAGATCTCCACAAGGCTAATTCCTTCACTTTCTCCATGGCATCTTTTCAGTGAAGGCCAGCCTAATCAACCTATTTAAAATTGTAATCCATCCACCAACCTTATGCATCGTACCTTCCTGTTATATTTCCTGTAGTACTTACTACATAACAAATTCTGTAATTTGCTAATTCATTGTGTTTTCCTGGTCTCTTAACTCACTAAAATGTAAGCACCTCCAGGGCAGAGCTTTTTTCTATCCTGTTCACCAATGTATCCCAAGTACCTGAAATAGAACTTGTAGGAGCTCAACAGATACCTGCTGAATGAGTTAATGTTTTACTCAGAATATCTCAGATTCCTCCCTTCCCATTCTCACTGCTGTACTTCAAAACTAATCCTGACCTTTGTCATTACTAGATTTTTTTTTTTTTTTTTTTTTTTTTTTTTAATGATAAGAGTCTATCTTGCCATTCTCTCCAAACCATCCAACATGCTTCCAGATGCATCTTTCTAAGACATTTACTTTTTTGGGGATGTCATTCCCCTATGATGATTTGGGGACTAACTGGCCCTGTTACATATATTACACACTGGACTCATGCTTGAAGGAGAAATGGGTTAGACAAACTCTAAGATCTCCTTCAAATACTTGATTCTGTATCCAAATGACTCATTTTCGTATTTGAAATACCTTGTAATCTAGCAGTAATTTACCTATACATATTTATATCCTGCTCCTTCCAAGTTTCCCCTGCTCCTGGCTAATTTCCTTAATATCTCTCAAATAAGCTATGCTGACTTTCACCATTTTTTCAATTGGTTACTCTCTACCTTTAACACCCTCCCAACTACTGAAAGAAAAAAAAAAAAAGGCAATATCCTTTGAAATCTTGCTACACAGACCTGAAGGCCAGTGCCATCCAGCATTATCTGGGAGTTTGTCAGAAATGCAACAGCTGCAGCCCCATCCCGGACCTACCAACTTGGAATCTATACCTAACAAGATCCCTAGATGACTGATGTGCTCCTTAAAGTTTGGGAAGCACTCATCTCAAATTATTCCTCAATGAAGCAGTCACTCGGCAGGCCTCATGTCCTATGTCCTGACCTCCAATGGTATGTATGTCAGCCATAGAAAGCACAATGTTCAATTAATAGCATCCCCTCGTGGACTATTTATTCCTTATTTCTTGTAAGTTCTCTAGCCCTAATTGGGATGTAAATAACTTGTACACAGGAAAGCTGTGCATCTGGCCAATCTGGCTGCAGGGAACAGAAACCCATTTAAGTCACTTGGAGGGAAAAAAAGAGCTTATTCTAACACTGCTTGGGAACAGTGACTAGAAAACTCAGGGAGGGAGGAGTTCCAAGGCTGGGCTACCGCCTGTCAGCATCTGTCTCTCTGCCCCATTCTCTCCATCCAATCCATTCTCTCTCCTATTTTTCTCTGTTTACCATAGTTCCTGCTTCCTCATGACAGCAGCATTCATGTGACCTATTAGAGCCAGCCATTCTTCCTCCACTAGCCTATTCACCTCTGTCCCTTTCTGTTTCAATTTTCACCCTCCGGCTGTAAGCTTAACTCTTCCCACGAGAGAGATGCTCACCACAGAGAATCTTTTTGAGCCAAACCACAAGGTTACAAGTATCTGCGCTACCTTGTAGGATCGTCTGCCCTTGAGTCATGAGACCACCCTGGTCCAATCGGCTGAGCCAAAGGCGTTGCAGTTCAGAACAAGGCCCTTTAGGCAGCAGGAGCTGTCAAAGGAGAATATTCCTTAGGAAAGAAGTGTGGGCAGGGCGGGCAATGAGCCATATCTCCAACCCACAGAGTCATTATTTATGTTGTCCTCACCATAGTCCTGAGCAACCTACTGAGCACATAATAAACTGAAACCAACCACTATGCGAGGGAAGAGTCATTCACCAAGCTCCATTATGGCCCTGACACTGGGATGCACAGGGAGTACAAAGATTAAATAAAAAAGTCCTTATTTTCCCAGAGCTCTAAGTCCAAACGTGTCACTGAACTAGCTACTTGACCTTGGGCAAGTACCTCAACGTGGGCCACGGTTTCCTCAACTATCGGATGAGACCACCTTCACTTACCTCCAGGAATGTTGAGAAAATGCTTGGAAAAATACACTTAACAATAAAAAACAATACTGTAGCATTTCGGTATTAATAACACCCACTCACATGCCACAGGTTTTGCATTGTTTTCTGGTCTTTTCTCTTTTTCTGATTTCCCACGATACATGGTTCATTAGTTGCTGCTATTTGAAAAAACAATCCCAATTATTACCACTCTATTTTCATTACCTGTATGGTCACTCAGATGATTAGAAATATTCATTCATTTCACTCAGATGTACAAGATGAAAAAGAACGAATAAATTTTTTACTGTGTACTTTTAAAAAATGATACTACCATTTATTCACCTTGTATCCAAAATTGTCATGTCTTACAAACTTTTCCATTACAGTACAAATAACAATAAGTATGTACGAAATTCCTATGTAGGACACAGGTCAGCTTTGACTCTCGTGTGGCCACTACTCAGAACGGTTTCATTTAGTATTGCCTAAACGCTCTAAGAAGTAAACCACAGATACTACAACTCGATGTCCCCATTTTTTTTTTTTTTTTTACATGAAGATTCTGAGGAGGAAAAACAGTAAAATGGCCTGTCTCAAGCCCTGGAGTCCTAGTCTCCTAACTGCCAGACCTTTCTAAAACCACTTTACCACCTGCCTCACATTAAGGGACGGGGGTGGAGGGGGGAGGGCGGGAACCAGTGATGACGGCAAGATAGACTAGTTCTCAAAACCATGTTATTCCACCCTTTGCAAATTCAAGTCCTGGTTTATGGGAGAGAGAAACAAAACAAAACTCGAGATATGTACAACCTTGGCTTTGCCATAAGCAAAATCAAGAAATGTTTACCGAGTGACTGTCACTTGCCAGGAAGAATGCTGAGGGCTCCTGAGATAAGATGGAGAGGGTGTCTCAGCCCTCCAAAAGCTTACTTGCTATACCCTTGGGCATCTGTTGCTCACTGCTGACAGGTGTAGCCATTCAACAGCTGGCCCTGGGTGGAGCAAAGAAAACGGCTTCCACCTAGCTAAAAAGTCAGCTTAGCTGGCCAAAGTGAGGACATCAAGGAAAAGGAAAAACAAAAATGAGATCGCAGACGGAAGCTGGGTGGACTCCACTGCAGGAGGGAGAATTGCAGACCGTAATGCACAGAACCCGCTGGGCACCCAGCCGCAATTAAGGCTCCTCACGCTGTCAGAGGCAAGGGGCTGTGGATCAAAGGATCCTGAATCTGGAAAACGCACCCCGCTCCTTGGGGAGCCGCGGGGAGGGAGCTGCAAAAAGGTGGGTGCCAGAGGCGGGGGCGGCGGGCTGGGGTCTGTTCAATAGGGTGAGGAAGCCAAGTGGAGACAGGGTGGCTGGTGCACTAGCGGGGAGGGCGGCGGGCAGGACGAGAGCCCTCGGTGACAGGAACCGAATTGTCACGCTGCGGTGTAAAGCAAGCCCTGG